GTTGTCGCAAGCAGATTTTTCTTGTGAATTTGGTCTTAAAATTTTTATTTCAAGTGGCATTAAAAAGTCTTAAAAAGTCTTGAATTTAACTTGCCTCATGCTGTAGGAACCCTGTAGTGTTATATTAACTTATTGGCAATGTTACGCAAGTTATAAGTTAAACATCGTATTTAAAATTAGATTTTATGTAAATTTTGGATCTTAAATATTTAAATCATTAACAAAACTCTTAACCATTTTGAGCCTAAACCATGAAATAATTGTCAATGAACCTTCTGAGAAATAAAAAAAGAAAAACATAAAATATTTTAACATAAAATAAATAATAAATGAGTTATTTGTAGGATTTGTGATTCATTAGGCGTTGTTGTACAATAAACAAGAACAGAAGTATTACACTGATGCTGTGGAAACTTAAAAAATGAATGAGTTAAACAGCTAAATGTAGCTTAATGAAACATTAAACGGTTTATAGTTCAGCCTTTGAAGAAATCTTTAATCGGCTGCGTTGAAAAAGGGACGTAGTTTGGAACGGCAGTGGGACACAGCTGTCCTGGGCTGATAGAAAACAGCAAAACATGTCGATTCTTCAGTCTCTGGAGGTTTAATGGACTCATTCCTATCTTTTTTTCATTATTCAGACTTTTAAATCCAAATTTGAGAAAAAAATAATTCTGCCCCAAAGCCAATAAAATAAATTCAGATGATATTTATTTTCAGTAACAGTTTTTTTTTTTTATTATTTGGAGGATCACTACTCCTAATCTTTGTGATCAAGACTCCTCTGCATGTTTTTGATGTATCCTGCTCCAACACACTGGATTCAGTGATGACTTTCCCTCTCTATATGCAATCTGTTTCTTTGGAAACCTGTTTTTCACCCGTTCCTGTAGATCAGTTGAAGTGAGGCAAACAGGAGCGGTAAATCCTGATAACCAGGGTTGGAACCACTGCTTTACTGGACCACAGTTCTTTGTGAGATCCAGTTATTCCTGTGCTACAGCAGCCTCAGCCTGTCAACGGTTTTTGTTGCAACAGACTAGAAAAACCAGTGGCTGTGTTTTGTTGATCATCATGTGCAGTTAATGGAGAGGGACACTAGAAACGGAAGAGATAAGAGGTTGTAGTGCAAGAATATTAGCAAAGCATTAACAAACATTTCTAAATGGTATTCCAAAAAAAAGTTAAAAAACAATCCACTGGACTTTATTTCCAAGTTTGAAGACGTTTCTCTTCCCTTCCAGGAAGCTTTTTCAATTCAAATGTCAGAAATAGCGTTGAGTTGCTTTATACAGCTGCCCAACAAAGCCTTGTTTTTGCTTAGACAACATGCAAATATAAACGGACAAACGGGTCCACCCATTTGGAATTGGGGTCGTCTGGCTGCTTTTGTGAGCCTGCAATGCCCCATACCTGTCTATGCTTCTGAAAGGGGGGTCATTAAAGGGAATTGTTGGTCTGGCTGAACAGGCGGGGTCTTCTGTTCCCCTGTAAAGGGGTTGAGGGTTGTGATGATAGCAGGGATTAACTCAATTGCTGTATTGTAGGTTTTTGAAAGCTAACATTTTATTCAACCCCTCTCTCTATAAGGTTGTTTTTTCTTTCTTAACATGGATGGCTTCCTTCCCTCTCACAACACCTATTTTCTTTGTCCAAAATGTGAACATTCTGGTCCTCAAAAGAATGTTCACATGTTTAAAATGATATCAACATCGTGATCCATAACATTACAAAAAACTGGTATTTATGCAGAATTTATGCGCTTCAGTTTATGTTGACGTTTGTAAAATGTGACTTAAAATCCAGACGCAAAATGTTTGGATGAGGATGGATTTCTGCTAAATTGATTTTATTCTGTCAAAATATACAATTTGTTTCTGTAGAATAAAACATTTCTACCATTTAAAAGCTCCTTATTTTATGCATTTACTGTCTTCCTGCTTAGATAGTGTTTCAAATGAAGCATCGTAATCAGGTCCTGGAAATAAATAACCATCTTTAACTACTTGAATTAATTTGATAACTTTTTCACAAAATAATTGTGTTTTAAGCATTAGATATAACTTTGGGTACTGTGGTGCATTACTTACTGCTAGATGGCGCCAACGTGTTTTTAATACATTTCTGATGTCTAGAGTCGTCCATAATGATAGAAGAGGAGATAAAGATATGAATAACAACCAATGTATCTGTAAAATAAAACAACAACAAAAAAAAACTATCCTCAGGAGAATTAAACCAAAACCTCTACAATAAACCCAGATCGATGATAATGTGGGTATGTTTACATTGTTATCTTTAAACATTTTTTTTTAATTATTATTGTGCCAAAAAAAACAGGAGCCGCAGACTCACTGATAATAAGATTAGTGCTGCAACTAATGATTATTTTGCAAATCGATTAATCTGTCTTAAGTTTTCGATTAATCGGTTAATAATTAGATAGCCAATGATTCCTTATAGAAGACTTTTTATGAAATTAAACCAGGTGAAACTTAAATGTTTCCCCTTAAGGAGTTCTGTATAGAGCTTATTGACAGATTATTATTTTTTTTATCTTAAATCTGAACTGTTTGACTAAAACATATTTTCTTTATTCCAACTGTTTTTAATATTCTTTTTTGTTTCTGCATTTTTTACTTTATTTTTTTATTTTTTCCTACTTGCTTTGATTCTGTTTTATCTTCCTGTATTTTAATCATGTAAAGCACTTTGCATTGTCTTTGTACTGAAATGTGCTATACAAATAAAATTGCCTTGCCTTGCCTTAAATGCAAAAGGTTGAGATATATATATCAATTAAATTTTTTATTTAAAAAAAAAGCTTCCTGGATGGAAATTGTAACGTCTTCAAACTTGGAAACAAAGTCCAGTCGATTCTTTTTTTTTTTTTACTTTTAAGTAATTGGTTAATTTTTAACTGGAGTATAGAGACTCTAAAAGATGCCTTTAGCTGGCAGAGCGACCCACTTAGAGCAGTAATTTTACCAAAAGTGTAAAAAAAAAAAAAAAATATATATATATATATATATATATATATATATTT